GTGGATGTTAATGCTGGGTTTTGGATAAGCATTAACTCTCTTCAGAACAGGAATGTACAACCGTAACAGATTAACTGATGGCAGCACAGCAGAGGAGCCTGCTGCGCTGCCAGGAGGAGGTCTGATAGTCAGCATGAAGAAATAATTCTTGGCCTGAGCCATCCTAAGTGAGAGAGTTTCAAATCAGGTTTATGGTAAGCTGAAGCCAGCCAGCCCTTGCTATGACCAAGGGACCAAAAGCAGCGTATTTCCTAAGCCAGTATTCCTCTTCTGCCTGTGTTTTGGGAAAAGTATTGACCAAAGTCTTAGGTTTGCATTTTTCACAGGATAGGCAGTAATACCACTTTTCACAGTTTTGCTGAGGTCAAGTAGAAGATTCTTTAAGGTGAGGCTAGGAGAGTATTAGGCAAAAATATCACCAGTTCTTGACATCTTCTTATGCTTTTGCCTAGGCATCTGCTTTTGGCCACTGTCAACATAGGCTAGGTGAACTACATGGATCTTTAGTCTGAGTCACTTCTGCTTTATGATAAGAAAGAGAGGCAATAAGATTGTGATGTGATAAAGACTTTTTTGTCCTTAAAGAGTTTTCGTCTTCATACTGATATCTAAAAAATAAAAAACCTTTACCTGTCTTCTGTCTCCCTGCTCTCCAGTAGCTCCCTTACTTTACTGTTTTCTTGGAAAGAGGTATGTGATTGGTAAGATTACTGTTAATCTTACACTAGTAAGATTATCACAAAAGTCTAGCAAATTAAGATTGATTCATCTAATCATATGTATATTTTAAAACTCTGATTAGAAACTTGTGACAAGAATCTTTTTTAATTCCTTATTTATCAAACACCTGAAAAATGGTCAGACTGTAAGTGGTAACAGTAGCAACTTTAACTCCTTCTGTAGATTTGGGTTTTTTTCAAATGAGTTACAAACAGACATTGTCTTCAGAAAGAGAAACACAACAGAAGTAGGAACACAGCTCGTGGCACTCCTGATTGCTATATGAATAAGCAATAAAGAGGAAAACAATGCACTGGATCGAAGAAAAATCCCTTTTGAGCTCTTCTGATACAAAGATGCAAAAGAGAACTCAAATCCAACTTCCCTTTTTTCATCCTTAATGTTCATTTTATAACATCCATTATATTGTGCTTAGAAATATAAATCACTCAGCAAGTTCATCAAAAATTTGCAGTGGAATATTATGGATGCTTCAGTAACTGAATAACCTAGTGCCTTTGGGCAAATAAAACTCGCACTAGCATGAAGAACTGTTTTTCTGTTCTCAGTGAAGGTAACTAAATATCGGATGTCCATATGATAATCTGGAAAAGATATAATTAAAAAAATCTCTCAAAATAAAAGGGAAAGTCATGTGATATTGCATAAAATAGAGAAGTAATGTGTTCACAAGTCCCTCTTCAAAACGTCAGGTAGACAGAGAAGGAAAGAGCAGTAATAAATGCTTGTGTATTCCTTCTCCTGCAAAGTCTCAAGTGTACAGAAAAGAATGGAAAATAATTAATGTTTGCAGAAGCATCAGCATCTTATTTTCCCTATAATGAGATGGAAACAGTTGGAAACAGTACCCTTGTGAAAGATAAGCCGTTCCACAAAATACCTGAGAGAACTGAAAGAAATGTAAAAGGCTGGATTTTCTGGGGGGTGTCCTTGCAGGGTCAGGCCCTAAGCTTGAATGTATGTGTGTGTGATATGACTAAACAGCTCTTTGATGAGATTTTCTTTTCCCTTTTCTGCTTGCTTTCACTGAGGAGAACAAAAATATGTGTACATATGTCGAGGAACAAGGTATCCAAGAAAAGTAGCTTACGCTATTGTTTTTCTCTGGTTTGTGGGTGTGACTAGATTAAAGGTCACAACAAGCTGAACTGGTTGACTAATTTACAATTTTGATCTTCCAGGGAGAATCTGGAGACTATTTTCCAGGACATGAAAGAAGAGTGTCATCGAATATGTATGCTAGCCAGAGAACAAACAGACCAACTGAGTAAATTTAAGATAAAGCCAGAACCTGAAGCTGGTAATATCATACTTAAGCTCTTATTGTGATTCAACTGTTTGAAAGCTTTGCTTTATATTTGAAAATACTGTAAATTACACATACATAGAAGTACTTCCACTGTTTACCATCTGCCTTTTTCAAGTCTGTTCACATGGTGCTCAGTATTTCACCAAGAAAATGCACCGCCAGTTTTGGCATTCTATGACGAATGCTCCAAATCACATGCTATAAAAGACAGTGATCACATCAATGGCTCTTGTAATTGTTTTGTCCCTTGGAGTGAGAGGCAAGCACTTACTACATGTGATATTCCATCATACTGTGTGAATGACAGCACTTGCTTGCTTTTAATTTAGCTGTCAGTTCAAAAGATGTCTGTTATGAATGTCTCTAGCCCTATGTCTGTTAGAGGAAAACTGCCGGACTGAGGAGAGCCTGAGGACTTATTTTCTAGACTTCCTTGTGCAGACTTTTGAATACTGTTTTGTTATGTGGGACAGGAGCTTAATGCAACACTTCCTGAAAACAACAGAAAGGCTTGATTTTTATTGCAACTGGAAGAGACCCTGAATGTCCAGTTCTGCTAATGCTTACATAATATTAAATGTAAGCTACTATTGGTATTCCTTACTAGCTAGTAGGATCAGACACTTAGGTGATTTCAAGAAGCACTTGCCGAACTTAGATGGTTGAAGCAAGAGATGCTGATTTCAGTACTTGCTTCTTATTTAGGTTTTATCATTACTGAAGTTTTGTTACATTAAGTGCCAATGTAGAGCTTGTGGCTTCAAATTGCTATGTCTGAACTGTGCTGTTATATTCTGATTGTCTGGTACTAAACATTATTTATTATTTAGGGGTGGGAATTTTGGGGTGTGAGTGCTCAGCAACTTATTTCAGAATGGATTTGTTTTCCTTAAATAAGTGCCTAACTCAACAATGTGAAAAGCTATGCGTGATACAGATTTAATCTGCTTGATTTCTGTTATTCTGTGGCCCACTTCAATATCTGACTGATGTCAGAAGGCTGCTGTACAGTAGATGTGTACTGAAGTTATTCTCTCACCTGATTAGGAGTAAGCATGTATATTATTACCATTTTTATTAATAAAGTGCTGAAAATCACAGAATCACAGAATGGTTTGGGTTGGAAGGGACCTTAAATCTCATCCAACTCCAACCCCCTGGCAGACAGGGACACTTTCCACCAGCCTAGGTTGCTCAGAGCCCCATCCAACCCTGCCTTGAACACTGCCAGGGATGGAGCAGACGCAGCTTCTCTAGGCAACCTGTGCCAGTGTCTCATCACCCTTACAGTGAAGAACTTCTTCCTAATATCTAATCTAAATCTACCCTCTTTCAGTTTAAAGCCATTACCCCTTGTCCTGTCACTACAAAATGGAGTTCTCAAAACAAAGGGAAAATTTGATCCCAGTTCTGAATACTTACTCAGTTTTAAGTATTTACCAAATTTGGAAACCAGTGGGATTTTGGTACCTGAATGCCTTCTAAAATTGTGCTTATGGTGCTTAGAATGTTCTTGGCACCATGTGAAATGGTTTTGGTTCCAGCTTCTGTTTCTGCCAGAACACTTCAGTAAATATGTGCAAGTATGTGTTAAAGAGTATGGGACAACATAATTTTCAATAAAATGAGAATGTTTACAGACATAAAAAAAAGAGAAATAGAATTATTAGAACATAATTACTTCCTTTTATTTCTGTTCTGATAGTTTTGTGTCAGAGCTAATGCTTGTGAAAGAGAACTATGCCTCAAGCTGATTTCAGAGAGAAAGAGTAGAGGTTAGAAAGGCAAGGACTATCAAAAACCACTCAGGAAAAATACCCCAACACTATGCCTTTAATAACTGTACTTCAGTGGACTATTTAATGTTTTCTCCATTCTTCCTTTGCAGAAATACAGTTTTCCATGCCGATACAGTGTACTGATAAAACTGATGAACAAGCAGAAGAGCTTTTTAAGCCTCGGGTTATAAAGGATATAAATAGAGGTGCATCATGCATCACATCTATCACACCAAGAGGAGTGGGCCAAGATGAGGACAACTCCTCTATAGAATCACTTTCTAAATTTAATGTCAAGCTTCCACCTACAGACAATGACTCTGCTTTCTTGCAGAGCACTCAGGAAAAACCAGCAATTTCTTGTACTGGTATAGCTGAAAACATGCTTCAAGATCATCCTTTTAACCTGGAGCTTAGAGACCGTGCTGTTAACCTCAGTAAATTGGAACCTAACTCATTTGAAGCTCATGGAGTTGATCTCATGATCTCAGCTTTACAAAGTTTAACTACTGTTGACAAAACAAATCCCCCAGATCATGCAAACATGTCCATAGAAAATACCCATGACAAAACATGTTTAAAAACAACAGACACTGATTTCACGTTTGTACCTAAGCACGCAAACCAGGGTGTACCTGAAGTAATTTTTTCATCTTTAGAAGCTGCTGGGACAGTCGTCAGAGGTCCTCATCAGGTATCTTTCTAATAAATACTGTACATTCCAAAAACTTTTAATGATTCAGTCAACCACTTTGCAAAGATCTTTGAGACAGGATTAATATATTCTATGGGGTATCTCATCAGTCTTTTTTAAGACATTCTCTCTTGTCTGTGTTTCTTCCTGGTACTGCAGAATATGCACAAGGCACTTTTCCTGTGAAAGGGCAGGAATTTAAACAGATGTAGGCACTGGATATGCTGGCACAAATTTCAGTTCATTTAGATATTAATTGCTTCTATATATTTCAAAGCTGTAATTAATCAGAAATTGCCCTCTAGATTGCTTTCTTTCTACCCTTGATCTCAGTTGAATAGGGCACATAGTTGTATTAACTGTTCTTAATGTACAGCAGAGAATATGACAAATGGACAAGTAAAAAGCTGAACAGATAATACTTCACTGTGAGAAAATTATCTACTTTTTGTCTCAATGTGAGGTATAAACAGCACCTTATTCCTCCAAGAAAACTTAAATCTTTTTTTCATACTTTAAGCAGTCAAGGAGAAGGAGGAAAGCCTGTTTATTTTTTTAAATGAAGAAAGAGTTCACTAAAACACTTTATTTTAGGTTTATGTATGTACTTGAGTCTTGAATTTCACTGACAGCTACTTAAAGTCCATGGGAACTTCTGAAAGCAGGGACCAGTTGCTATAATGCAGAAAAACATTTCAGCAGGCTCTGACAATCACATTTCTGAATACTTCACTTCTTTTTTGTAATCCTTTCTCAACTGAAATTGCTGGCAAAATAATAATGGACCCTTGTAGACTGCTTTTTTTTCACATTTCTGTGGCTTTTCTCACACCTTGTGAGAGGAGAGGTTTTCGGGAATAAGCAAATAGTGATACTTAGAAATTCTGTGAGGGTGGATTTGGCAGATTTTTACTATTTACATTGATGTGGTTTTGTGTTCCTTGCTAATGACAAGGCACATGCAGCAGAAGTACTTTACCTCTTGATTTGGCCACTGCATGACATGCAGAACTAGCATTTGGAAAGCTGTTTGTAGGACATAATAGCTTTGATGTTTTCATCTCCTAAAACATACATAGTGCAGTTTAGATTTCTATTGCAAACCAGTTCTGGATGAAAACTTTAAAGCATGGAAAGTTTGCTGTTCTTCATCATTGTATTTTAAACTATAAGCCTGATTTTTCAAAATGTACTTTAAATATTTATTTGTAATGTAGGACATCTCAATTCTATGCCAACTTATTAATCATAGATTTTATTGTGCTTTATTTTTCAGTGGGTCCTTAGTGAAAGTTGTGACTGAGTTAAACAAATCAAACCATTTATTTTATCACTGGTAGAATTCCTGTGGAGCTGTGAAGCATTCACTCCATTGCTTGTTACTATCCTCTTTTTCTGTATTCCCTCTCCAGCTAATTCTTTTACTAGTTAGTCTGTTTATTCATTTTTCAATAGATGGCACCCTGCATTGTGTATTACAGCTAGTGAAACAGCTGGTATGTGATTATAAATTGAGAGGGAGGTATGCAGCTTAAAAAGTAGAGAATTGTGGTTGAATAGTAATAAGCCTTGGGTTTGATTATCTGTTTATTTGAAGAAAAATGTATTAATGCTAACATTTGAAGAAGAGAAACCTAATGGTGAACCATTTCAGTATTTGTAAGTTAGATCTACAGTAGTACTGTAGCACATACAGGACATTGATTAAAATGTTATATCTTATCCAGAAGCTTGTTTGAGATGAGCCAGTACTGCTTCAGAATTCATTAAATATGTCTGTGTATGTCAGTATATTTAGACATCCATCGCCTTTATTCAGCTGCCTTCTGAAGAGGCTTTTAAGTATTTTTCTGAGTGAATTGGATTCAGCTTTAGTTTTTTGACTGTTAATTGTGCTAAAGGCTTGATTCACAGAAGATATATATGGAGATCAAAATAATAATGTTTTTTAAAAGTTACTTGCATACATGCCCTTTCAACTGTATTAGTCTTAGCAAAATTTATGCATAAACTTGTTCTTAGTATTTTTACCATCTTTCTAAGAGGTAGTTACACTGCTTACTGCTTCCATCATCCTTGCTGCTGGTGAAGCTCCAATAGGGAGGAATTATATACCTGATTTTTTTTTTAACTACTGTGGATAAAACTTTCAAGTATTTACTACATATGTTAACTTATAAAATGGAAAACCCCATAAATGAAATAGATTTGGCAACAGTAAGTTCTTGGAACTGCTCTCAGTTGCTATAATAAATTTAGCTCTTTCCTTCTATGTGGATACTAAATGTGAAAACTCAGCCCTGTTTTCTTAGGATGTAACTTTAAAAAAAAAAAAAAAAAAAACGTGACTGAAAAGAGCAGCAGATTAAAATAAACATGGATATTAGTGGACCTAGGATTTTACAGACTACATTTAACTGAGACTTGCATATAGATGCATGTGTTTATCGGTATTCACAGTTTGAGGGGGTTGTTTCCACCAAAAATTGTTCTAAGAATGTTCATGATTTTTAAAGCAGATTTGTAGTGTATTGATCTTAATCTGAATATTAATGTTTTTGAAATGGAACATCTGCTTAAATATATCCCTGTTCTGAAAAGCATGTTGAGTACACTCAAAGAAAGAAATAGAAGTTAAGTGCCTGCCTCAGTGGGTTGCTGTATGAGTACCTCCCATTGTTGTGCTTTCAGGATTAGAAATCTAACTTTGTCCTATGTGGTGTTTTTACAATACTATTTTATCTTCTTTCAAATAGTGCTTTACGTCATAAAGTATTAGAAAAAAGTAATTCTAAACACATTTCTGTAGAGATGTTTAAGTGTGTCAGTGTCTAGATAGATTTAGTATGCAATTTACACCAGCAACATACAATAAGTAGACTCTTTGAGCTGAAAAAAGTGGTGTGATTGCACTTAATTACTAATTAGTCAATTTAATTATATGGATTGCTGACCATAATGAAAGACAGTAAATCTGCTATTGCTATCTGATAAGCTAAACACTGTTTAAATAGGGAATAGGCAGGAAATTGACTCCAAAAAGTTTAGCTGGTTTAAAAAGAAGGTTTAACCATAATGAATGCCAGGTTAGTTGCACAGTGAGTTACCATGGGAGGAATAAACAATAGATTCTAACTATTTGCCGTGATGAAATTTGAATAAGGGCTGAAAATTAAACCTCTTAGGTAAGTATGAATAGCAAGAAATTTAAAACTTCTAAAAAACCTACTCTGTGAAGTATTCTTTTTTGCCTTTCCATGTGTGTGAAGCAAGAGAGAAGAAAACTAAGCTAAAAGAAAATGTAGGGTGCTCTTCTCTTCTAGGTTCCATCCCCACACAGAGCTCAAACCAGCTTGCTGCTATTCTATCTACTTTGCCATCACAGTAGTATGCATTTAGTTTTCAATTTACTCAAAACGTAATCATCCTGACCATATAACATAGCTATATATTTTAACTTGGTTTGCTAATACTAACGAAACTTAATTTTTAACTTTACTCTGAAAACTGATAAAAGACTTTTTGATTCCTAGTTGCTATGATGCTAAATAATTAGTGTATACTCTGGCTTAAAGTATGTGTCAGGCTGAAGTCTCTTGAACTCCAATGTCAGGTAAACAGACTTGCTTGCTGGCTTTAAACTAACTTGCTCAGGGACCAAGAACAGTACAGATGCTGAACCAAATTTAGCATAGTTTACAGAATTGCCTGAATGCATGGATAGATATTCAGGTGGTCCCATTGAGTATGATTATGTTGTGGCAGAAGGAATTCTGAAAGAGATTTTTTTAGACAATTTTTAGACAAATATAAGATAAATTTACATTAACAGGCAGCCAGAGGAAATAAGTAACTGAGGCTGTGTGACATTGCTCTAGTCATTTTATAAGTAAACTGAAAACTAGGTATCAGTAAGAATAGAAATAAAATATTATTCATATTAACTCTGTACAAGAAGCATTTTTTTCTAAGGTAAAAATGTGGTTTTTCATTTCTTTTAAATGGCTGTTAGATACTGTGACTTCTGTAGTAAAATACTGAAATGCAAAGTTAAAGAAAAGCTTTAATATGTATCAGGCTGATATTACAGACTTTTGCTCATACCTGTATTTCTCAATAATATATACCAAGGCATTTTAATTGCTTGCAAGGATAGTATGTTTATAGAACTTTTAAAAAAATGTAAGTCTTATCTTGCTTTTCTTAAATGAGAACTCTCTAGTTTATGTCTCTGGCCAGACAGGTTTAAAGGACACCTATATAAATACAAACCACAGCATCATGTAGACCATATAGTAAACCACAGCAATAATCATTTTCTGTTTCTTTTAGCTCATTTGGCAGCCTGAAGACAATGATTTGCTGGCACAAGCTTATACAGACTCTGAACTGAATCAGTGTGGAATATGTGAATTCTGTCGAGAAGTTTTCCCACCATCCATGACATCTAAGAAAGATTTTCTTCGGCATCTGAATTCCCACTTTAAAGTACAGTCTTAATGTATGAGAATTCAATGGTTCACTGTTTTGCATACATTTTGATTTTTTGTATTCAATAGATATGCTAAGAATTGAAGAATTAAGACTTCTTGTAACAAGAACTCATGACTGAAACTGTGTGTCTGATAAGCAAGTTTTTAACTGTCCTTTGACAAGGTAACATGAAACTGTCACTCAGTACTGTAATTCAAATTATTGCTTGTTATGCTTCAAGAGTAATGTTAAACACCTTTTTCTTTTTTTTCTTTTTTCCTTCCTTCCTTTTTCTTTTCTTTTTTTTTTTTTTTTTCCCTTTTAATTTATGAGTGTAGACTTGCAGAATTAATGCCTTAATCTGGCTGGGGAAACTGGTGTAACGCTAGGATTTTTTTCTCGCTATCCAGTGATGTGACTATGTTCTCCTTGAAGTAAACACAAAGAGAAGCAGACTCTTGTTTTTCATTTCTCTTACAAAATTTCCAAATTTAACTTACAGTAGTGAACCTCTTAATTGAGATTCTTGTAAAATCATCACAGTAACTGAATGCCAGGTATGTCAAAATTAGGGTAGGCTTGTTCACTAGTAACATAAATGAATGGTTGACTTTCCCAGATGAATTGTTTACTAGAGAGAGTAATCAAACACAGCACATAAATTACCCGTTTGCCAAAATGTATCAGTAGCAATTTTACAGATATCTGTTACATGTTATAAAAAAAAATATAATTATCTTGTGTACCTTTCTAGCATTAATGATTTGTAAAAATACTTCCACAGAAAAAGTTATATTACTAGGAGGGATAAAGTGAGAAAGGATTAAACTTTCCCTAAAACTAAGAATACCAAAGATTATTTACCTTTCCTTCTGGTCTGCTATGAAGGATTGCTGAAGTCTGTTACAGCCTAGAAAGGAAAACTTAATCACTGAAATCTCAGTGACTTCATTTTTAACCAGAATAAGCTTAGTGGCCTTCTCAATGCAATTTAAATTTGTGTTTAATTTAAACATTGTATTCTGATAAAGTTTGCACATTGTCTGGATTTATTGGGATCAAATTAAAAAGGAGGGGGGGTTACTATGTAATTTAATTTAATCACAGTGACTAGGAGCTTTTTGCATTTGAACTGAGTATAGGGTTTAGTCCTGGTATTTGATAATTAGCATTAATGTTTTCATAGCAGCAAAGCACAACAGTTTCTCTTTTTAAAGATTTGTTCGCAGGTGACACTTTTTTGGAAGAATTAACACCTGCACAATTTTAGAAATTGATTTTTCTACAATTATTTCCTCTATTTTAAACATCTAATACTTGTGACTGGCTGTCAACAGAGTGTACTGTTATAAACAGCAGTGCGCAGTGCATGTCTGCTCCATGACCTGGAGAAAGAGTTTGTTACTATTAACAGCTCTAAACCCCCGGCGGTATCCAGCGCAGAGGAGGATACGTTCATCCCCGGGCTCGCCGTGCGGCGTGTGAAGTACCTCCCAGGCGAGCGCGGCTGGGGGTGGTTCCTGGGAGAGACAGAAGTTCCAGGATTGGGAGGAGAGATGGGGATTCGCACATCT